TCCCTTTGTGGTGCTGATGTCTTGCAGATGAGCTCACAAGCACAGGAACCTCCCTGTGGCATTTGTGGTGAGGAGCATCCTCTCTGTGCAGCTTTAGGCGGCAGAGCCACTGCTGAAGAAATGACTCCACCTGAGCAGCTGGCAGGTCCCTAGCACATGTGTTTCTCCCTGCCCTTCCTCCTCTGGATCGCACCTCTGCTGGCAGCTGGATTCAACAGCTGCCGTGCTCCTCTAGAGGTGTGCTCTTCCCTAAACAGAGGAACTTTTTGCCACCAACTTTATACCTAGTATTTTGGATGAGTGGATAATACATGCAGGGTACCTACCTACTCTGCGCAAGAAGTTTCTGAAAAATTTGTGAGCCAAAGCAAAGCTGGAATGATCTCCCATAGCTGGCTGATGGTATTTCTTTTTAAGCAAGTTACACTTTTTCATGCTTCCTTTTGTGTTTCTCGTATTGTCTCTGGCTGCTGGCATTCAGAGGTCTCCGTAAGTCAGGCCTGCTTTGTGCACTCTCAGGTGACCTTAAGGTGACTTGTCTTTTTCCTTTCTCTGCCGGCATTGGCTCTTGCCTTGGTTTAGGGACAGAATTCTTAATTTAGAGCCCTGAAGCACAGCACAACGTTTTGGAGATGCTTTCCAATGCTTAAAACTGCTTTGTCTGGAGTTGGCAAGGCCCTTGTTAACCCCCGTCACCCGAGGCTTTGTGTTTGGCTCTGTTCCCTTTGCTGAGAAGTAGCAGCGATGTGGAAATCAAAGGCTTTTTATAATGCCAGACAGCTTTTGCCAGGCTACAGGGATGTCACCAGTGTCTAAAGAGATGACGTGGAAATATGTAAAACCGGAGGGGAAAATAGATGTCCCTGTGTCTCATTAGTTTCGGTTTTAATGGTGGGTTGCTTTGAAGAGATGTCACAGCTGGGCGAAGGGGGAGCAGGACACTCTGACCAGCGTGTATTGCACGAGTCGGTCAGACCATTGGGCAGCCTTACAGAAGGGACTCAAACTTAACACAGGTCCTGGGTTCTTTTTATCATTTTTCGTTAATGGACAAAGTTCATAACACTTTAAAGGTGAGGAAAACTCTTTGCTAATTGTATGAAAGTTCCTGCCACGTTCTCGGGTGCGGGAAGGTTGGGAGAATCCTGGGGCTTTTCTTCTTGGAAACAGAAAGGTGAGGGAAACAAACAGCCCTGCTCAGGTTTTCTGGAAGGTGGTCTGATACTTGTGAGCAATCACAGGCTGAAACTCTCACTTGTGTGGTTCCTAGGACGAAGCTTTCTTGCTTCCAAAGGGGTTGCAGGGAAAACTTGCTCCTCTCACCTGAGGGGCTGTCTTAGAAGGTGGAAATTCTGTGTCTTCTGTGTCAGTGTTGCAGCTGCAAATCCTCAGTTGGGTCTAGTGCAGCAGAGCCAAAGCACACCTTGCCTGCCACGGCTTGGCATGCTTGAGGCAGCAGGTGGAAGGAACAGGAGATGGCAGCAAGTAGGAATATGACGTAACCGAGAAGTGCTGGGATCAGTATGTTGTCTCTTCAGCTGTTAGGTTTGGTGAAGGCATTCAATCAGGAAATATTTTGTACTTCTGGATTCTTAAAGCATCGTTTGCTAGCGCTTAATTTGCTTACCCAAAACTGCAGGAACTAAATTAAGATTATTGGCAATTATATAGGATTTAGAACCACTTTGTTTCAGCAGAGGTCCTGCTTGAAGTAGGGGTTTGCAGCAGGAGAGTTCTTGCTTCTGTTTGGGATGGGTACAGAAGGCTACCAGCATGAAATACTGAGCGCTGTTTAAATCAAGTTTGTGCTTCAAAGTGAAAAGCTATGCAGGTGTAATAATCAAATATTTCCCTATTTTAGAACAGTGTCTCAAGACTAAAATTTCTCTTGAAATACCTGAACATTCAGTAACCGTCTGTCCCCGCATCTCTGGATCATCCCTCTCCGAAGCTCTTTGTTGCAGGGGATTATTTCATGCCATCTTTGTCTAATGAGTTTCTGTGTTTAGGAACCCAACAAAGCTTCACAAGTGAAAGCATCAAGTGGCTCACTCTCTGATGGTTTTTTTTTAAACGCTGAACATATTTGTAGCAATTCTTCTGTTCCCTCTCCAGAATGGATGCACGTTACCCTCAGTGTTTACACTGTTAAGGTTATCCCTTTAAAGAATTCCTGAGGGAAGTTCAAAAGGTTTTTTTTTTTTCTTTGAAAGATTCAGTGTCTCTTTTTGTGTGTATGTCTCTTACTTGAAAGAAGGGAAAGGGAGGGGGGGAGTGAAAAAAAAGTGCTTTATCTGAAAAGAATCGCATCAGCTTCGCACTGATAGAAGCCGCTGTCATCTCTTAAACGGCTTAGCACAGTCAAAAGGCAAGAGGACTTAAAACAGTGTCTTACACAGGGATCGATGGGTGGAACACATAACTCGTAACTGAAAAAAAAAAAAAAAAAAGGCAGCACGGGGGGGGGGGATAACGGTAATGATTGCATTGAGGGAAGCTTGCAGGGATCGATGGGGGGAACACATAACTCGTAACTGAAAAAAAAAAAAAAAAAGGCAGCACGGGGGGGAGAGATAACGGTAATGATTGCATTGAGGGAAGCTTGAGGGAGGCTTGTTCTTTGTAACACAGCTTCAAAGGTGCCTGGACCGGTGCCCGAGCAAACTGTCCTGTGAAGCCGCTGCCTCTGTAGGTCTAGGGAGGGAGTGGGGGATGCTTGCACCCTTCTGTTTTTTAGCAGATGGGACGAAGATTAGTAAATGCCAGGTTAGCGGCTCCCTTCTGCTGTTTCACATTTGAGGAGAGGTTTTTGCCACTTGGTCTCTCGCCGTCCGTTCTGGGAAGGCGGCTTGTTCAGGAGAGGGGAAGGCGGCGAGCGGCAGATGGGGCGGTTGGGGAGATG